AGTAAATGTACATAGGATTGCAACATTTATCCAGCTACAGATTTCCAGTTGTTCATAGTTCACTGGCTGTATTTACACAGGCGAGTATCCTCTGAATTTGTGCATTAATAGATAAGGAGTCCGTTGAATCTGTCATGCCTCTCTACCCTGCCTTTAGCTGGTCCATAAAAGCTACAGCCCGGAAGGAAGGTGGGAGGCGCCCGTGCTTGTTTCTTCCTCAGGAAAGACCTTCCTGGAAGCACTGCAGGGATCCTCCTTCAGGCTGCCTTTCTCCGAAACGAAACCGGAAGGGCGGTTCTTTCCCTTTCGTGGGTGTCTCTGGAGTCAGGAGGGCCTGGCGTGGAATAGGCTCCCGGGTTGCTTCTGTGGGAAAAAGAGAAAGGCCTCAGCGTTTCTTCCGTTCCTGTTGGCAATCTGAGCAAACACTGTGATTTTTTTCATTAAAGTAGTTTTATATTCCTTTTTGAAGTAGAAGATACCTAGCTACCAATAATTCGTACAGCTTGAAAATTTAATCTTTAATAATGTTTTTATACCAATTTGCCTAGAACAAATAAAGATACCTAGGCTCTTAATGATTTCTTTGTCCATTTCCTTTTTTTTTTTTTTTTTTTAAATGCTGTTACCTTCGCTGCCTATCATTCTCCTTTGGTAATAGTTTTAAAGAGGGTGTTACGATTTTTGTTAGAAGTTCAGTGATATCATATTTAAGTCCTGTGGCCCTAGTATAGTTTTGTTGTTTTCAACCCTACTGTGAGATTCAGAAGTAATAATTGTTTTAATAATATTGATTTGAGTTTTAAAAAGTTACAATTAACATTCTTAATAGACATAACATATTGATACGTAAAGGTTTATGTAAAGTGGGTAAGCATATATTATTTTTGTAGAAAAGATAATATACTTCAGAAAAAATCCACCTAACTAATAATATAAAGTTTCCTTAAAAACAGAAAAAAGTCATGTACTACACTAAAATTAAAAAAAAGGGGAGAACAAAGTCCTAAAAAAGGATTTTAAATAGCAATCGTATTCCTGAATAAAACTTAGAAAAAGAGGGGGGAAAGGAAAAGAAAGATCATTAATAAAAAGGTCAAGCTATTCAAATACTGAAATTTTTATATTTTTGAATTTTCATTGTTATGATTCGGTTTTAACCACTTTTTAAAAGCGTGTAAATCTGTTATTTTGTTTCAGATTACAATCCCACGTGGGAAGAATGGCTTCGGCTTCACCATCTGCTGTGACTCCCCTGTTCGGGTCCAAGCTGTCGATTCTGGTAAGGCTTCATTGGCAGAGGAGGCTGACTGGCCCCCATCAGTTACTGGTTTGTGTTCTTACAAGATGGCCATCCAGACAGCACGTAGATCCCAAACCAGGGGGGCTCCATCCACCTTACCCCGAGACCTGGGAGAAGAGCCAGGTTTTCTGGCCTTCCTGAATACCATTAAGGTGGAAATCATCCAGTTCTCAGGGGTGACTTCATTCCGGGGGGGGGAGGGGGGGGAGCACTATGACAGGAGGCACACTTCCTGGGTCTCGATTTGGGGACCTGGACCGTGACTATTCCGTCAGATCATCCTAGCCCTACAGAAACCAGGAGAGATGGATCACCCCTCAAATAACTGGGCCCATGCCATGCCTGTAACTTATATCAGTGTTTTTGCCTGGGAAAGACAAGATTAAGCTCAAAGGCATTGGTGTGTGTGTGTGTGTGTGTGTGAGAGAGAGAGAGAGAGAGAGAGAGAAAGAGATCTCGCCCTCTTGTGTTTCCATAAGGAGTCCAGGCTAATTGCCGGCTTTGGACGGTTGCTGTCCAGCACCTGCCATGTAGAAGGAGGCAATGGGTGCTTGCTCCTCAGGAAGGGCAGATCTCCTTTTCCACATCTTCTGATCCTGGGAAGAGCCGTTAGCTCCCTCTCCTCTCTTTCCAGGCGGCCCAGCAGATAAAGCTGGCTTGCAGCAACTGGATACGGTCCTTCGGCTCAATCAGCAGCCTGTCGAAGCCTGGAAATGCGTAGAATTGGCTCATGAGATTCGGTGACTATGAATTGTGTGTGGAGAAGGGATGGCAGGGAGGAAGGGTCCAAGTCAGGCCGTGGGGTTTGTTTTGTATTGCTGTCCGTGCATTTTCCCCTGCTGGCTGCCTTCAAGCAGTCACTTCAGAAAAGAGCGGGGATAGTAGCTCAAGCCCCTTGCCTTCCCTTCTAGGAACTGTCCCCAGGAGATCATCCTGCTTGTTTGGCGCATTGTGCCGCAGGTTAAACCCAGCCTACCAGGGGTCACCCGCCACCCCTCTTGCAAATCCACGTATGATTTGCAGTCTCCACCCACCTGGCGGGAGAAGAGCAGCACCGGGCGATCACGGCCCCCCGAGCAACGGCAGAGCTGTCATGTCTTGTACGATGGGAACCACGAGTTTGCGCTCAACGGCTGGGAGCGATACACTGAGCTTGGCAAGGCTCCCCAGCAGCACACCATGCCTCCGCCTTCCCGGCCTCCTTCCTCCAGTGGTACAGACAAGAATTACATCATCCTTACCCCACTTAATCCAGGGGGCCAGGTATGGGCATTTGGAAAGCGGGAGATTGATAGTCTGCTGGCCACAGCAATTTTTCTACTCGTGGTAGACCCATTTCTCTCACACGTTGGCACTTATGGAAAAGAACGAGAGTTGTTCAGCTGACCCTTAAGAGCCATGTTCATCCTTTGAACTGCCTTAGGGGCATCAAAAGGAGGACCCCCTCCCTCTAAGGAAAAGTTCAGCAATGAAGAAAACTCTTTCTGGAAAGGCTCAGCTCAGACTGAACGTTCTCCAGTGAGATAGTAGGCAGAAAACTAGAGATAGGGGGGAAAATCTAGCTCAGTCATCTCCCCGACTGGCTGGGCATAGAAGGGAGTCATTCTGTGCCATAGAACGGCAGAGGGGGTGAAATGGCTCTGTGCTTGTGTCTTCCAGCTTCTGAGGCGAGTCTGCCAGGAGAATAAAGCTGCCGGAGGTGAGTGGCTTTCCGTGTTCCTGCTTGGTCTTCGTGGACGAGCCAGAGGGAGGCAGACAGGGCTGAGGAGAAGATGGCAAAGTTTGCTCTGGTGTCTTTCTCACGATGGGTGTATGATAGGAAACAGGGTTTTGCACTGGACGCATAAAGCTCACACAAGAATTGCAGCTGGTTTATTTCTGTATGAGTAATGTGTTGTGTTTTACAACATTGAGAGGAGCACGCGTGGCTCTGTTTCCCCATTCTGTTCTGCTAGCCAGAGAGCGGGCAGGTACTTCGTGAACTGGGCTACTCCCAGGCAGGCTGAACGTACCTGGCGTTACCAGGAAGGGGCCGTCCTGGAGAGGCAGGGCAGCAAGAGACCAAGGCTGGCGCAGGCATGGCATTTCTTGTGCTCCGAGTTGGTACCGGAAGTGGCCACTGATTTCTGGCAGGCCAAACAAGCCTTCTCTTGTGGTCCCGTGTCCTGACTGTGGCTGCCCGTGTCTTATAGCCAGGTTGGTTTATAGGCTCAGTGTTGCTGACTATTGTCCGGTCTCTCGGAATGGAGCTTCTGGTCGATCCAGAGGAAGGGCAGCCTTGCCGGCCCCTGTTGCAAAGGGACCAAAGCGATGGTGTTTGCCCTCTCGTTCTGTCAAGGCAAGCAGGAAAACAGTGAGCAGTGGAAACAGTGCCAGCCGTGCTATGTGTCTCTGCGGCTTCCCTGGGGCGAGAATGTCTGCGAAGGGAATTCACTACAGCAGGACTGACTCAACGCTTCCATTAGGCATCGCTTCCTCTGCCGCAGGCGCTAGGAAAAACCTTGTCCTGCAGCCACGCAAAGGGATACATAAATTAATGCCTCCTTGATAATTGTGCACAAAGCTACTCTGAAATATTTCACAGTCTATTTCGCAGATTTTCCCTCTGCTCTAATGGGGTAAGCAATTAAGGAACCGCTGCGTTCTTTATCCTGGAAGCTTCGGTGCTTCTTGGAAACCTTTGCCTCTAGCAGGGCCTACTGAAAACAGATCCACGCCAGCATCCCCGCTTCTGGGGAATGCTGCACGGGAACGCCCCTCCCTCTCGAGGCAGTTGCAACGAGCCGAGGGCCGTCCCGATCCATCAGTTCTTCTCAGTGTTTTATGTTTCTTCGTATCCAACCCGAAGAAGGAACCTAATGGCTCTGTGACGCCTAGGACCAAACTGAACTGATATGGGTTGGACTTTCAGATGTCTTTTGTTTCGTAAAATGCCACATAGGATCTGCGGAATTTGTAATTCTGGCTCCATTCGAGTGTGTCCTAACGAGACTGCTAGTCTTGAGAACACAATTCCCACAGAATTCCTCCCCCTTTTTTGTTCCTGACATCCAGGCAATGTGTGCAAAGGAGAATCTTGTGGGAAGAAATCCCGGCTCATGAAGACGGTGCAGACCATCAAGAGCCACGGAAGCAGCCCCCGGAGCTGCCCTCTGATGGGGTCCCACATCCCACCCTCCAGTTACGGCACATACGTGACACTCGCTCCCAAAGTGCTGGTGTTCCCCATCTTCGTACAGGTGAGTTTCAGAAGGCTCCGTACCTGGGAAGTTACTCCTCTCTGAGATGGGCATTTCTCTCTGGCCCAGCTGTCCTGGGTCAGGGCTCACTTGCCTTCAGTCCCCTGTCGCCCTTCTAGACCTCTGATTCAGAGCCCAGGTCTCCTGCAGGATCTGCTTGCCTGAGGACTGCTAGATGCAAAGAGCCATCTCCTCCCCTATCGCAGTGCTCTTTCCTGGGAGCAGTGAAGATCGTGGTACTTCACGTCCCTTGGAAAGACAGGGCACAAAGCATTACCCAGGCAGAGGGCCTGGGCAGGGCAGAGCAAGGCAAGAAGTCACGGCCTACCCAGCCAAGCCTTCTCTCTCCCCTAATGCCCTCCTGTGTGCCCCGGGAAACTCACCAGCTGGGCTTTGAAAGCAGGATTCTCACTGGTTTTTCATTCTCCAGTGAGGACCCTGCTTTGTATGTGCTGCGATGCATGCAGCAAAAAAAGTAGCGAATAGACCTAGCCTTGGGGCAGCCTCCAGTAGCATGGTATTCAGTGGCATGCAGACTTTGGATGTACCATGTGATTACCATGGTTAATGCCAGTTGATTGGGCCTCTGCCAAAGCAGCAGAGTTTGCACATGGGAGTAGAAACAGCCAGGGAGAGAGAAGCACCGTGGCAGAAGGTAGCTGGGAAAATGTGATATGCGGAGCAACCGATGTTGCCTCTGTGAACGGACGCTGCTCCTGCCTCTTTCAGAAACCTTTGGGAAGAGGCTGGACTCTCTTCCGTGCCACAAGAGTCCAGTTCAGTTCCCTTGTAGCTCTCCCAGGCAGCTTCCCCCTGGAGCCGGGCCCCGAGGGCGGCCTTGGTGGAGCTACGGCAGGGAGAATGAAGGCTGCGTTGGGGTCTCTGGGCAGATGGAGTCCCCTTGCCTCAGACAGAGAAGCCCGGTCGGGTATGTAAGCTCTGTGCCTCCCTTCTCCTGCCGCCTTGCCAACGTTTGCTCCTCAGCCACACACCAGGATGGTTGAAACTGCTCCTTGCACTATTTTGTCAAAGAGCAAAACAAGGATAATTCTTTTTATAGTTATTGTGTGACCTGCCGGCTCTCCCCCTCATTTTGTTTTTGATTTCCTGGACTCTGGACTTTCCATTGGTTATCAGGGGCTTGCAGCTGTGAAGGAAGAGATTGATGGAGCCCTCCAGATAGTTTTCCCTTCATCAGAGTCTCTGAATGGTGTGTCTGTGTGTGTTTCTCTTACTCCATTAGCCTCTGGACCTTTGCAGCCCAGCTCGGACACTGCTTTTATCAGAAGAGCTGCTTCTTCACGAGACTCGAAACAAACCAACTGAGGTGAGCCTCCAGGTGCATCCCAGGAAATAATATTTATTCATACTGACTCCCTGGCGAGGAAGAAGAATCGAACAGGAGCGGTCATAGTCTCAGAGGGCAGAAGGTGTTCAGGATCGTTAGGGGAATCCTGTGAGATGTTCACAGTTGATATTCACAAGACTTTTATTCAAAGTTACAATGTTGAGATGAGGGGAGGCATAGAAATCTTTTAATTTAGCCAAATAATGTATTTAATTTACAGATAAACATGTATTTAAATAAATACATGCTTTATGCCTGGCTTCCCTTGAGGCCTTTCTTGGCCTTAGAGACTAGGCTGACCTAACCCTAACCCTAGCCCCCCTTCCTCCCCCCTGGCCCCATGGATGATTTCTGCTAGCAGCTGATGGATGAGATTTCTTCTTTCGAATGGGGAGTTTTCCTTTTGACTGGCTAACTAGTATGTTGAGATGCTGTTTGCATTGCTGCCTCACTGCATTATTGCGGTGGCAAGGGGTGCCCTGACTCAGTTGGGGCTTGCTGCCCCAGGCGGCCCCCTGCCCACGCCTCTCCCTCTGGAGTCAGCTCTTTTTTTTTAAAGCCCTGTGTGACCTTTGGAGGCACGCATGGATCTGGTCACCAGCTCACTTTGCCTTAAGGCCGCCGCCGATGGCTGCCTCAATCTGTGGCCTACCCATAGATTCTGGTGGGGCTTTTTCTTGGGGAGAAGATGCAAGCGGGCACCCTGCCTCCGCCCGCAAACGGGATCAGTGCCAGAAGAGGCTAGAGTGCCACAGATTTCGACCCCGACACCTGGGCTGAGGGAACAAGTTCAGATGTCTCAAGGAGGTCTGGCCACCTGAAGTAACTTTAGGATCTGGAAGGGGAACTTTTCTCCTCATTTTTAAGAGCCTGCTTGGACACTTTTCCCCTTTTCCCTCCAACAACGGCTTTTGTCTTTTTCGTCTCGGCTATTATTGCTGAAACAAAAATGGTCGTTCTTTTGCTGCTACTGTAATTCCTGCATTTGGCTGAAATGAGTCTGCACGGTTGTCAAGTATTATTGTGTTGCAGGTTGTAGGGAAGCTGCTTCCAGAATTTTGCTCGGAATTTTGATAACATCGTACTTTGTTTTCGCTAAAAGGAGGGGGCAGTTGGCTGTGCTCTGTATGGCGCTTTGCCAGAAATGTCCATTCCCTAAACCATATCCTAGTTTCAGGCACATCCTGTCTAGACTTGATTTTTCTTCCCACAGTGATAGTCTTTGAAACTCGGAGGCTTTTGGAGCTGGGTTGCAAGGGGACGTCTAGGCCCATCAGCTCCGAAATGGGATGCAAAGGGGCGACGCCAGTCCCCGTCAGGACAAAGAGCAAAAGAGATTGGAAATGATGGCTGATACACTAAACCAAATGCAGTCAGTTGCAGAAACAGTTATTTATTTGCTTCGTGGTTTGATTCTTGGTCCTTGTGAGATGCTTTTTCTTTTTCCTCCCGCCTTGTCCAGGTGACCCTCTTTGTTTATTCAGACTTATTGCTCTTCACCCGGGAAGAGGAGCCTGGGCAGTGTAATGTCTTCCGCAACCCGCTTTATCTGAAGGATGTCTGGCTGCAAGAGGGTGAGTCCAGAGCACGTGTGAAAGAAGGATACCCCCACGAAGGACAGGTTCTCTGGTGACAATTCTCAGAGGCCTTTTACCTGTTGAGTGAGGGGAATCTCACGGGATTCATGGCGGCTCCTCCTTGGACCTCTCTCTTCTCTACACCAGATGCATAAAGTGCTTAAGGGCCCAGATGCTCCCTGCCTTCCTTGCCCTCAGGGTGGCCATGCTCAGCAGTGATTTTGGCCTCCCTTGTTAATTCATCTTGTCACAGGAACCGACAGCTGTCCTCACCAAAAGGGTCTGCTTGGCCGGTGGGATTAATGAGCCCAAGCAGCACCAGGTCAGGGGGAGTGGGATGGGAGACCTGGCCAGATGAGGAGTTGCTGTCGAGTAGTTTTATATGTCTCACGTCCCTCTGATCAATAGAGGAGTGTTTTTATCCAAGACCGGGATCGCTGGGCTAGGGCGGCTCAGCAGACTCACCACTTGGCTAGAGCAGCTTTGGGGGCTCCTGTCTTCTTAAGTTCAGAAACACCGTGTTTGCCCGCTTTTCGTTTGCTATGGAAGCAACTGCAGCATTCTGAGCACTTGGTCAAATAATATTTTCCATTTGTCAAGTCAGGGAAGATTAAATGACCCCTTTAATCTACTTTTCTTGCAGATTCCTCTGAAGATCTGAAATTCTGCATTCTTTATCTGGCAGAGGTGAGTGTTACCTGCAAATTAGCTTCCAGCTGCAATTACTGCACCCGTCAGCCTCTTCCTGTAGCTGGCAGAAGAAATAGGACTAGAAATCACTCAACCAGGAGAGTCACAGAGCCGTGGCCGACTGAATTCTACCCGGAAGAAAGCCTCTCAGAACATTGCAGCAGTAAATAAGGAAGAGAGTTTTTTGGGCCGTTGCCTTTGTGGCGCTTGTAGTTAGCGCCAGTGAGGCAATAAGCTTCTTTCCTTGAAGACATCAGCTTAGGGCTCTGAATATGAATAACACGGTTCAGGTAAAGGGCGGGGGGGGGGGAACGGAGCAGTCACATTCCTGGGTTGAGCCAAAATCTTCATGTTGAAACTCTGAAGCCCTGATTCAAGAGCACACAGCTCACAACTCCTTACTACTTCCCCTCTACTAGACCAGATGATCAGAGGCAACCTGCAGGCCAGGCTTATCCTCGCCCTTGTTCCAGAATACAGTATCTCTAGGATTGGTGGATGAACATTGTGGGCCCGCAAGGCTTTTGTGTTGGTTTGAGATGTGTGTGAGAGAAAGCTGGTGGACAAAATGGTTACCTTGAGCCGAGGTTTAAGCCACCATCTTATTCCTTCAAAACCTTTACCCTCTCCAACGTTGGGCTAATTGCCTCAGTTTGGGAGCAGGTTAAGAGACAAAATAGGAATCCTGAGCCTACTGAGGCATTTGAGTAAAAGGTGTCATTTGTGTGTGATGAGAGAGAGGGAGGGAGGGAGGGAGGGAGGGAGGGAAGGAGAAGGTACCACTTGCAAAGCATCGTCTCCATCTGCAGAGCTTTGCTCCTGGGGGGCCTAATTGAATTGATGCAAGCCGTTAATTCCATTATCCGAGGTGGGGGGGAGGGGAAGGGCTCCGGGACAGGCCTTTGGAGTGCCTGTGATGGAGAGCGCTTGGGAAGCTCTCCACCAGCCCCTTGGGGGACAGTCTGCGTTAAATGCTGTATTATCTGCATCTGTAGCTTTGTTGGGCTTATGTGTCAGCTCCACAAACCTGTGTCCATTTCTTTAAATCATCCCTTTTAATTGCTCCAAGCTAGGAAGGTGCTGATGCTACAGGCTACTAACAACACACACGTGTGCACCGGAGGGTGTGCGGTGTCTGTTTTCTCAATTGGAGTCCTTTTGGAGGGGAGCTGTGCCCCTTGCTCAGGGCTGCCCTCCGTGGCTTCCACCACAGATATAGGAGAGGGGATCTGGAAGGGCAAGGAGGACCCTGGCTCTGCAAAGGACAGGCAAACTAACAGGTTTGGCTAAAAGCCCACCGTGACTCTTTCCTGGTATTCAGCAAAAGAAGTTGTTGTGCAGGCAGCTAGTTTTGTTGTAAGGGGCGCCTTATCAGCCGGTGTCCCAGGTGGGCAGCCAACCCAGAGAGAAAAGCTGCCGCTGAAGAAGCCCAGCCCCTGGATCCAGGCCTTCCTCTCCTAGACCTCTCCCGGCCTCTGTGCCCCTGTGTGCTAGGAGCTGGAGTGTGTGCTCAGCCTGCAGGCTCGCTCCCACGAGCAGAAGACCAGGGTGTGCTGGTGTCTGATGGACAACATCGTGAAGCAGCAGCCAAGAACGACTCCGACAGCCCCTCCGGCAGAAAGCAAGGTAAGAAGGGGCAGCGAGAGGAAGGGCTGCAGTCAGTCAGCGCAGGGGCTCCTTGCTCAGCTGGTCAGGGAGGACCCTCCTCAGCGCATGAACCGTGTGGCCCACTAGGGACCCCAAGAAGAGCCCTGCTCTGGTCCAGGCCACGTCAGGACTGGCAGCCCCCTCCCTCCCTGTCCTTCCCGGCAGAGCGTCCGCAAGGCCTCCCAGCTGGCTTTGGCCCTTGCGCTGCCGGACTCCACGTGTCTGTGGAGGTTTCTTCACCAGGGCTGCCTCGCCTTCTCCTTGGCGAGTTCCAGATGCTGCCAGGCAGGGACTCGCCCTGTTCGGGATGTTCGGCACAGAGAGTAGAAGCGACAAGGCCTCCTCACCGACTCCCTCTCGGCCTGCTGAGCTTTCAATCCAGGGCCACAAAGCCTGGCTGTGCAGCAAGAGAGATGGCGCCTCTGGGTTGTTTCCCTGTTGCAGCCTCGGGGTAACCGGGCCCTTGCCTGGCCTCCGAGGGCCTCCCCGATCTTGTTTGTCCAGTGGGGGGGGGGAGGGAGTGGCAGAGAGGAGCCAAAGGGCACATTGGGGCCTTGGGCAACATGCAGACTTTGTTTCCTTGTGCCTGGCTGATGCTGAAGGCTCCCCTTTGTTCCCAGGAAGGGTGGGAGCGAGCAGTGCCTGCCTCTGTCCAGCCGATGTCAATTCTGCCTCCGGCGTTTTAGGAGAATAATCGGAATTGGCTGCTTTTTGGCAGAGTTCCTGGCTGCACTTAATCCAATGACGATGTGACTTAGGGAGGCCAATAAAATCCTCTGCAAGTATTGCTTTCTCACAGGCGCCCGCACAAAAGGGCCGGCAGAGCTGGTGAGCAGCAGCCAGAGCCACCTCTCTGGGAGGCGGCCCCTGTTTGGGGGAGCCCTCCCCTCTGCCTGGACACCCTCCTGGGCAAGTGCCCGCCTTCTGGGTAGCGGCTGCCTCCTGTCCTGCGTTCCTGCTCGCCCTGGATGAGACTAATCTGGGGAATCTCGAGAGTGGCCGCGCCCCTCCCCAAAGGCTGGGCTCAGGGTGCCCCCTTCTTCCCTAGCCCCGTGAATTGGAAGGGGCTGCGGGACATCTCTTGCAGAGGTAGGCGATAAACACCCAGGCTTCTTAGATGTTTCATATTGTGTAGATGTTGCACTGTGATTAGGGACTGCTTCTGTTTCTTATAGGTTTGTGCTATGCCTCCCCACCCCACCCCACCCCGCCATTCTGAAGACATTGAACAGTGTTGCAGATCCCTACTAAGGCTAAGGGGGGGGGGGCTCTGTGTTTTGTACTTAGTTTTGGGCAAGAATATTTAGTGGTTGTGAGAAGAAAACAAGGTATGTGTGGGTCCTCTCTGAAGTCACACTTTGTGGAAGGAGGACACGGGACTTAGCCCGTGTGCCATGACACTAAATGAGCAGGGTAGGTTTTTGTGGGTTTCGCCCTTCCTTGGGCGTGAAACTGCTCCTGGCACCAAAATAAATGAAAAGCAACTATTTCAGCTTGCTTGATCTACATGCTAGGAAAGATAACTTATCTGCGCAGACAGTGGCTGAAGGCAACGGGAGCAGGACTGGCGACCCAAGCAGGCCCCGGGGGATGTCAGAGGGGTGGGCCATCTCAGGAAGGTGGTGGGGAGCAGGTGGCCAAGGGACTGGTGGCAGCTGGAGGAGGACGGGATGGCTTAAGGGGGGGGGCAGGAACATGAAAACGTTTTGTTCCGCCAGTAGGTTAGCTGGGGCAGGTGACTTCAGCCCTGACTCCTCTCTACCCCCCTCCCCCACACACCATGAAGGTGAGCTTCCACAGCTGAGGCAGAGATGGGGCTTTTCTGTTGTGCTGCCCTTGTGTAACTTCTGGAGGAGGTAGGAGCACATCCGGCCACACACTAAATGCCCCCCCCCCACGCCTTCATCATTACAGTAAGCGTTCGAAGGCCAAACCCAAGCAAGAGAACTCGGATTTACCTTTGCTTAATTTGGCTTAGGGCTGTAGGGGCAATTTTTGTCTCTTAAAACTTTGAAATTGATCTAGTTGATCACCCCATTAAGCATCACAAGTTCACTTCCCTCTTTGCTAGAAACGCTGAAGATGCTCCGTGTCGTGGCTGTGCTGGACGAGCAGAGTTCAGCCTTCTGGCCTGAAAACCCGTGGATGGGAGTCCTTTATACAAGCCAAGAGTTCCAGAGGATATTTACATATTTACCACCACCATTAGTCATTGGTGGCCATTGTTACATTTCTGGGGATATTGGAAGCAGAAATTTGGACCCTTGGATTTCTCAGATTTTATTCTCTTTCCTCGTCTCTCCTGTAAAGCAGGCAGATTTTAACTCCACGTGTCCTGGTAAATTGGGGAGAATATGAAGTGTTTAAAATCCAGCTCCTGTGGCATCTGCCTTCTCCAAAGGCCAACCCGATCAGTCACTGTTCCATTGCCTGCCTGGCTCAGCTCAGTGGAAAAACGGGATGTGTTGTGTGCGATCTCCCCAGGTCCCTCCCATGATGTGGCACAGGGGCTGCTTGAGCAACAGGGTGTTTACATCCCTCTCCTATGTCTCCTGCCTCCCCCCGAAGGAATATCTTTTGTAATTTCTCCCGCTGAGCAAAGGAGACAGGTTGGAACCTGACCAGCTCTGTTTGTTTCCTGAGCTAAAACCTTATTTACATCCGGACCTCAGTTGTCCAATTAAGCATTTCGGCTAGTCTGGGACACGGAGCCAAGACAGGGAACGCCAGCAGACTGTCGGATCAGGTGTGGGTAAATACCTGGCCAGTAGATCTCAATTAGCTTTGGGCCCCTGAAAGTCAGATAGCTCATCTGGACAAGGACGTGTGAGTCAAGTGGTTTGTAGAGAAATTAGTGGGGCTTAGGTACCTGCAAACCGCTCACCCAGAAATAGCAGCCAGAAGCAACTACGATCTGTAAGTTCTTGCAAGCCGGTCACTCACCACCCTGAGGTTGCTGAAGCCAAGCATCCCAGCATCCACGCTAGGGATTGAAGGCCAGCCCCTGACTCTTTGAGGGAACGTTGATAGGAATTTTTCTATCCCAGCTTCTTTGCAAAGGTTTCTGATGGGGCAATTGATCAGAAAGTGGAGGGGGGAGCTTCTTCCTGATGGGCTTTTGATAGTGATTTGGAAGTGGGAGGGTCTTTCACACAAAATTTAGGAGCAAGTACTACATCAGAAGATCATTGCTTGTGGTCAGAACAGATGCTTAGTGGCCTCAGTCTGAGCAGCCACCTATGTGGAAAGTGTAATATATGCTGGCCTGTATGCTAGTTAATGTTAATGCTCTGTGCCACACTACTGTGGTTCCAAAATATAGAATCAGGGGGGGGGGAGCATTTTATACAGAGACTGGGATGGGAGGTGAGCGCATCTGAAGAAGTAGCCTTTGTGGTTTCAACAACTGTGTCCTTTATTTGAAGGAAATGTGCCTGATGCATTTGAGAAAGGCCGTCCACATGTGCACTTAAGTGCTGTGGCTGTTCAGAGACATCAGACTCTGCTTGAACTTTCCAGGATGACTGGAAACTTTTTATTCCATTTCCAACCATGCAGTGGGCCCATTTCCCTTCCTCTTTGTTTCCCCCCAGATGCTTGAGCCAGGAGCTGAGAAATTAGGGGTAGTGCCATCTGTGGGGCAGGATGACAGCCGCCGCCTTGCCTATCCTGGGAGAGACAGCTCCATAGAGGGGGTGACAGAGGAAGCTGTGGCAGACGTCCAGGGCATCGGGATGGAACAGGGGAAGCGGACCTGCCACCTCGAGCGGAAGGAACAGGAAGCGCTCGGCAGTGGCTCCGCTGCCTTTGCAGTCCCAAAGTTGCAGGTGGAGGGGGCGTTTAGCCAAGACCTGACCTGCCTCACCAGCCTCAAGCTCAGCGGTCCAGGGGAATTGGCTGAAGAGGAGGAAGAGGACAGCGGTGAGGCCCAACTGGCCAGGGGCGATCGAAAACGCTGCAGCTTGTTTGAACCGTCAGTGTGCCAGCCGGCCTGCAGCCTGAGTGTGCAGAACTCTCTGCGGCGTCGGACTCACAGCGAAGGCAGCCTGCTTCAGGAGCCCCGAGCGGGCCACTGCTTCACCTCTGACACCAGCCTGAATTACACCGAGATGCAAGGATCCACCCCCGGCTGGACGCTGCCATCTCCGCAGAGCCTCAAGAAACACCTTACGAAGAACGGGGGCTCCATCCACCAGCTCACTCTGCTCTTCGTTGGGAATCGGAAGGTAGGTGAGCCTGTGTGTGTGGAATAATGGGGGCACTTGAGAGCACCTTTGGAGCAGTTGTGCCAGAAAAAGTCAGAGGAAGTTCAGGGCAGGAATGATCTGGAATGTGGATCCCCTGCCACGGTCTCTGCTGCCTGCTGGGTCTGCCGGGGCCTTGTGCAACACATCCTTTCCGGGATCCAGGTCTCAGAGGGCAAGGCTGGACGAGGCCTTTCGACTCCAACCGAGTTTATTTAGAGAGCTGGTTTGAAAAATACATTTCTAGTCTTCTAAGTGGTGATGCCAGATTTGCTGGCCCTTCTGAGTAGGAGGTCCTTTTCCATAGGAGGCGCAGCCTTCTTTCCTTGCTCCTAGTGGACCTCACCATTGAAAGGATGTAGAATTTTAGAGCCACTGTGTTGCATTCCATGTGTGTTTTCCAGATAGTACGAATACAGCAGCGGCCCCCTTGGCTAAATACACAGCCGGGCCCTCTGGCTCTCGTAGGGCAGGGACGGCAGCAGTTCATCTCTCTGCATGATGCAGTGGATGCATCTGCATGAAACCCGGCCTTGGCCCCCAGCTTCTCTGTATCTAACCCAATTAACGACAGGAAGCTTGGAGAACTGGCCAAGGCCTGGAACTCGGATGAGCCTCCGACATCGCCCACGGAAATTCTGCCCCCCCCCTTCTTAAGAGGTTCCAGAAGGCGCCTCTGACCTCCAGGGCAGGCAGGAGGCTGGGCAAGAGCTTGGAGTGCAGGGAGACAAAAGGTTTGCCCGAGAGAGAATTCATTTCCTGTTCCTAGAGAACAGAGCTCCCTCCCTCGGAGATTCTCTCTACATTTTGACTTCATTTTGTTCCTCTCAGCCCACCATGCTGCTGAACTAGCTCTTTTGCTCAGCTGTTCACCTGCTGGTGTTTACTTAAAACATTTCAATGTATCACTTTAATTATAACCTTTTATCTCATTTTTGTTTAAAAAAGCACACAAATGTTAAAAATGACTCTAGGACAGGGGTCCCCAACCCCCGGTCCGTGGCATGTCAGCAACCTGTCTGCACAAACAAGCAAAGCCCCACCTGCAGGACGCAGGCAGCACGCAAAAGCACGCACCCTCCGGTCCACAGAACAACCTCTCTCCACGGAACCGGTCCCTGGTGCCGAAAAGGTTGGGGGCCTCTGCTCTAGGAGAGCAGATGTTGCCTGAATGTTGCGTTTTCAATTGGACAACTTTTTTTTGTTGTTCACATATTTAGAGCACAAATGGCCCGGGGAACCTGTTTGGTGCCGGATTATGCTTTTCAGTGTCCTTACAGGACCTTCACAGCTGAGACTGCTGATGCCACAACATCGTGCAGGGCGCCACGGGACGAGAAGCAGGCATTTGCAAGCCCAGAATGCTGGCCAGAGTCTGGCTAGCTGTAGGGTTGTGGGACAGGCTCAGAAGCAGCAGGGCAGATTCTTATGGCATCTTCAGAAAGCAAGCTCCATGGTTGACTGGGGCCAGCTGGGCATGGTCAGGGCTTGACTGGGACTGCCAGGATAACCCTCCACCAAGACAGCCGTTTCCCTCTGCAGCCGGAGGACGCTGTCGGGCTGGCCAGCTGCCTCTGGGGCGTCCGAGATGCTGGCGGCTGAGCACTTTGAACGCAAGATAAATGGGCAGCTTCTGTTTTCAACCTGGCCGTGTCCTTGCTAAGAGCAGCTGCTGTGAAAATAAGGGTAGGGGAGCAGCAGGGCCCGAAGTCTGTGTGATGCAGCAGTGTGCGGGAGCTCTGGAGGAAGGGACGGCCCCTTTGCAAAACTCCTGGCCTGCCTGGTTGCTGGCTCCCCCCCCCTCACCTGAGCAAGGGAGGCCTTCCTTGGTGTCCATCTTCCTCACCCCCGGTTTGCACACACAATGTGTGCTGGCTGCCCCCTAGGGGATGTGCCTGAAACGACTGGCCATACCAAAGAGATGCAGGAAAGGGGCTTTTTCTAAGAATGATTGTTGGGCCTTTCATGTCTCCAGCAGGGTTTGCTCTGAAATGCCCAGAGATGCTTGCTTGGCTTCCGAAGGGGGGTTCAGCAGCCGTGTGTGGCTGCTCCCTGCCAAAGCAGAAGAGAATTGGCAGCCTTTTCCAAAGCGGGTCCCTCAAGCGTGAACTCCAGTACCCGGGGAGAGGCGGAGAGGCAGGGACAGAGAGGAAGAGCAGCACTTCCAGTGGGGAATTCTGGGGCCTTTCCCATTACCTACCGTAGGTCCCTGGCAGGTCCCTGGCATTAGGCTCTGGGCCTTTTCCTTAACTGGATTCGTCAGAGGCTCAGTGTTGAAAAAGGGAGGAAGCCTCTTCACAAGAACCCCGGTCCTGCTAGGTTACGCTCAGCAGGGAAGCCAGCCCACTTCCCCAGAGCCGAGGCCCACTTCCAGTCCCCTTCCTCTCACACACCCTCAGATGGGTTGTGAGCAGAATAACCCCACGGGCCGAGCAGAACGGTCTGCCTTCCACGGTGGCTGCCTGCTGCTGGAAGAGGCCAGCCCTGGCCAGTTCCTGCTTGGGAGCGGAGAACCCCCCCCCCTCTCAACAATGAGAGGAAACATGCCTGAGCCCATCTGGCGCGCCCAAAGGGCCCAGGAATGTCCCGGCCAGGCGGAAAGAGCGCTGGGCCTGATAAGACCCGGAAGCCTCAGAGAGCTGGGCTGGTGGCGCTTGACCAAGACGTGGTTTCCCACGGTTTGCCCGGGTTCCGGGTGGCAGGGGAGGCCCAGCAAAGAGATTCCCAAGCAAGTTCCTCTGGGCGCAGTTCGGTCTGGCAAATAAGCGCTGCTCTTGAAGGATGTTTCGTTGGTTTGTTTTACAGTGTTTGTCAGCTGCACCAATCGGTTCAGACTCTTGGCAGTGAACAGTAAAGGAAGAATAAGCCAAAGAGAGCAGTAACCAAATGATTGAAAATAGTTAACTCCTTCATGTCTCCCTCAGTTGAATTTACCTAGTTTCTATTCCCCCCCGTCCCTCTTCCCATTGCGGTGATGGTGGCGACAGCAGCAGCAGGTGCTGGATCCTGAAGGAGTTTGTGACTCAGGAGCAGCCCACAAGATGAACAAGGCAATGTAAGTGTGACTGTGCTTTGGTCAAGGTGTGGGTCCTTTTCCTAAATAGCCTGAGTGGGTGGAGGCATCTCTCTTGACCATCAGTTTTTTGGGCTCGGAACACGAGGCTGTGAATCGGAAGCCAGTTTCCATCTGTTCAGACTCCCGTTAATGCTGCAGGGGCTGGTTGCCTCTGGAGGGAGAGTTTTTCCACCCCTGAAGGAAAAGCAGTCGGTGGAGGTTCGGAAATCCACCGCTTACACGACAGGGGCCCATGCTGTCTCCCGTACCCTCCCTGCCCCCTAGTCCGCCTAGAGGGATGTAGGGTTCATCCCTCCTCCTCCTAGTCATACCTCCAAGATGCCTTGCTTAGAAGCCCTCCTGGCACAGCGTCTCATCGCCGGCCTGCAAGCAAGGGGCAGAATTTGGTATTTATCTGAGCTGATGTTAACCCAAGTTCTTCCAGCACAAGCTTTGCTGGGTGCGTGATTGTGGCAATGGAGGCAATGCACCCAAATGGTTTGAGACACACTTTCTGGAGGCCACAGCTCCCACGACTGTGAGCCAGTGAGTGTGTGTGTGTAGGTGTTGCCTCTGCTTTGACTGGCTGCGTTCAGAGGGGCTGTGACCGCCGCGGCGTCAGGAGCGGAAGAGAGGCACTGCCCCGGCAGGTCTTGTCTAGTCCTCCACGGCTGGGCTTGGGTGCTCACCCGCCCTCCTGGCTTCCTCGCCTTGCAGGGCCAAAGACATCAAGAACCGACTGGGGCTCTTTCGGAAGCGGCATGAAGCCCTGGGGGGCCAGCCTGAGAACAAGGCCGACAAAGGGATGAAGCCTCTGCGGTAAGGGGGGGGCAGCGCTGACAAGGTGTGAGATTGAGATGATTTGGGAGACTTGGAAGTTTGTGGTAAGGAAGCAATCCCTGAAGACAGAAACTTCCTTTGTGTAGGAGAAAACCTGATTGAGGTGTGGATGAGCTTGCCATCCTCAGTTGTGTCTATGTCACACTGGCTGCCAGTGGGAAAGACGGGGAGGGGGGGACCTTTTGACCAATAAGCCACAAGCCCAACCAAAGCCTGTTCTGGGATCGCTTAACTGGAGACAACACACATTCAGGACCCTGTGTGTCAAGTGATGGGCAGAGGTGGTGGAAGCCACGAAGGCAGCAAGGACAGAAATGTATGTGGGGGAGGGGAGGGGGGGAGAACGGGGCTGTGGTAAACTATATTTGGCTCTGATTCCAGTGGTTTTTTTTATCTTATCCCTTTGGACTACTATTTCTTACTCCTTTGTTCTCTGCATAATGTCACTAAACTGCAGAAGAGTAGGATAGGCAGGTTAAATAAAGTACCTAATTTCGAGTTAGTTTGCTCAAAGTATTTATTTTTGTTCTAGAATTATTCCATTTCTAAAGAGGAGACATTTTAATAAACCCCTTTGGTGGGGAGTTTTTTTTCTCTTCCCGCAGTGGTTCCATCTTTCACCTGGCTACTATAAAATGTGATTAAAGTAATCTTCCTCTTGCCCACCCCTTGCCTCCCTTCAGGCCTCCTCCCGAAGAAGCTCTCAAGTGGGGAGACTCACTGGAAAAGCTGCTGCAACATAAATGTAAGGAGCCCTTTCTGGTGTTGAGTTTCAAAAATCAGATTGCTGTAAGTGTTTGAATTAAAATTGTCAAAGACCAGTCAGCATTTTTTTTCCTTTTCCCCTTCCTTCTTCAGAGCTTTTGAGTAAACTCTCACCCGTTAATTCCGAACTCAGATCTTAAACATTGGAGGATGGAAACAGAGCAAAGCTTTAGGGTAGCAGTCACTGCTCTCTCCTGTTCCTGCCTTGGCTTATGGGACCTTGGGACCTGTTTGGGCCAGAGGATAACTTTCTTAAGTAGATGATTTTTGCTAAGAATAATATTGCCAAGTACCTGGACGACTGGAAAGTCAGAGAGTAGGCAGGTGTTGCATGCTGTGACTAGGAGCAGGACTTCGAAAGCACATTTTCCCATCTCTGCCCCCACAAGGCCTGGGGGCTTTTGCACACCAGGTGATTAAGCTGTAAGTTTTGTGCACATACACAAAGACAATCCTCCAAAATGACAGATGTGCAGCATCTCTATTGGAGAGACTTGATGTAAACAGGTTTCCGTGAGCTTTGGAGCAGCCTCCTCTCATAGGCCCAGAGATACTGAATCGAAACAAGTTCAGATCAGAAGATCTGAAGCACTCAAAGAAACGTCCCCTTAATCCAGCTGCTCCTCTGGATAACATTTTCTTCAGAGAGAACCTGCTTCCTGACATAAACGTTGCCTAGCTGGGTCCTTGGTGAAGGAGCAGAAGTACCCTCCCCCCTTTTTTATCTATTTTATCCTGTAAGGTGGCTGTGCCAGAGAAGCCTGGGTGCCTTATAGCATGAGCACCTCTCACAAAAGCCACTGCATCCTCTCCTCCCTGCTCAGATGGGGTGGCTGCCTTCCGTTCTTTCCTGCACACCGAGTTCAGTGAGGAGAACTTGGAGTTCTGGCTGGCGTGTGAGGAATACAGGAACATCAAGTCTCAGGCCAAGATGATAGCCACGGCCAGGAAGATCTTCACCGAATACATTGCTGTCCAGTCGTGCAAAGAGGTAAGTAGCGGAAGGGACCTGAATGTTGGGGCCAGCCTGGTTGGGAGCCAGACAAATTGTAGAAAGTTTGCTCGGCACAAGTGTGGAATAGAAAGAACTTTGCCGAAATTTAAGCACATTTTCAAAACTGCTGAACGGAAACCCCTGTGCTGCCACCTGCCCCGATTCCATCAGAGAAACAAGGCCGAGGACCCTGTTGGAGAAGAGATGCCCTTAGGTTGGTTCCACGTTTGTAAGGCAGCTTTACCCCGTGAAATCTTGAAAGGCCCTTTCTGGAGGCATCAAGTTCCTCCCTCGTCTCTTCTTTTGCCTTCCGGGCACCGTAAGCTCGGAATAGGCTTGGCTGGTTTTTGAAGCATACTTCATGACTAGACAACACTCCAGCAGACATTTACGCCTCTTATCGAAAACTGCATTATCTCTAGCTTAACGCAGAACACAATGAGCTGTAATTATTTGTCCAAGTATTTGTTCATCTGTCCCTCTGATGTCACCCTTCCGAATAAGCAGCAGCCTGACAGTGACCAGTGTCTGTCCGTCCTGCTCTAGGTCAATTTGGACTCCTACACCCGGGAACACACCAAAGAGAGCTTGCAAAACATCAGCCGGGGCTGCTTTGATCTTGCCCAGAGGCGGATTTACGGCCTGATGGAGAAGGACTCCTACCCCCGCTTCCTGCGCTCGGAGCTGTACTTGGACCTCATTAACCCGAGGAAACCTAGCTCTTCCCTGTAGAAAAGAGGCTAGGTCTTCCTCCAGGAAACTTTAGGGGAGCAGTATGTTTACAAATAATTACATTTTTGGCTAAGGGATTATCTGGATAAATAAATCTGCCTTCCCACCCAAAGGGGCCTTGGGGTTACAGAACTAAGCAGCTTTACCATTCCTTCTTCCCAAGAACCTGCTTTTCCCTCTGGTACGATGAAGTCATAGCGCCCAAAGCTGCAAAGGAGAAGGTCTTCCCTTGGACGACTGTGAAGTCCAGAGACTTTTCTTCCACCCTTCCGCTGTGCTGGAGGTGGCTGTGCTGCGGTGAGTTCCTCCTGCACACACAGCCGTCTTGGGACATCCCTCCGTGGCTTTCATGAATGGGCCACATCCTCACAAGAACCAGACGGAGGGAGAGGGTCACCTGCAGACCTTTCCTTTTGAATCTTGGCGCGTCTCCTCTTGGCAGAGCGCCCCCTCTTACCTGTCCTATCCTGCTTTTCTTCAGCCGTCTGAAAGGCGTAACCCTGGCTAGGTTTATTTATTGAAGCCTTCTAGTGAAATACTGTGTCTGTGAGAATGTCTCCCTGTTGAGTTTCCTTTTAAATCTTAAGTGCAATATTTTTTATTACCCTATTGCCATTATTTCTCTCCTGGTTTTATCCCTGATTCTTGGCGTGTGTGGCAGAATGTCAGTCAGTTCTCGGTCAGTCTTCTTCCTATTCCTTGGCCTTTGACATCTGCTCCAGCAGCGGATGTGTAAAAAGCTTACAGCATCTTGTTGCAACAGCAGTGTACTTTGTAGAGACGGAAAAACATCTGTATGTTTCTGTGCTGTGTCATAAAAGAATGTGTGAGACAACTGTGTGTCTGGATTTGTATTCAAATCCAGGTGACTGTTCATGTTTGGGTCCAGAGAGATTAAATCTCCTCCAACAAATCTTTTGACCAAGTGCCTGGTTTACTACTTAGGCCTATCTCTGCAGTTTAAAATATTTTTGTCGGTTTGTTTTTTACTACATCACGTCTATTTAGGATAAATAAAGAGACAATACATGTTAAGCTGTCTTTCCTCTTTTTCCTGTTTCTTCGCAGCTACATTAACTTGTGAGGCAGCTTGCTTGGTTTATCAGGCAACAAACGAGCAGCTATTCATTAAACAAAGATTGTTTAAAAACGAACACGCACACATGATCTAAAATGAGGGATGTAATGCAGAGGTTGGGCCAGATGACCTCTAAGGCCTCTTCCATCTCTATGGCTTCCTCCCCCTCCTCCCCAGGGAAGAAAGAAGGAGAAAGCCGCCAGGAGGACCTTCAGCAAGGCCTCCTTTTCAGGCCCTGGGGACTGCTGGGGGGGGGGCAGAGCGGGCACCTGGCACGTGCAGCTTTCCCCGCCCGGCCCAGTCCGCCAAGGGTGCTCCTTGAAGGGAAGGGTGTGCTACGGCAGGCTCCGGTGAGCACCAGCGGAGCCCATGTCGGGCAGGGGGTGGGACGGGGGGCTCTGGTGATGGTGGTGGAATTCGTGGCCGCATGGGCTTGTCCGGGGCTACCCACGGAAGCCGTCCAAGGGCCCTCCTCCCAAATACTCGAATTCCAGGCACTGCCCTTTCACGTTGCCCTCCCCTCCCAGGAACCAGGCATCGGTTAGGAAGACCCTCCGGAGGTCTTCCCTCAGAACGTGGGTCTCTTGGTGGGGGAGGCAAGAAGTCCTTCTTAGTATCATCTGGACTGCCTCAAGCTGTATAAAATAAAGTTGGGCTACAAGTCATCCCCATCATGGTGGCCATTCACAATTCAGGAAAAGTAAAGAAATAGAAGGTCATGGAATTAGTTGGAGAATTTCACACATAAAGTTAAAAATTAATATAACAAAATTGCAAACTAGGTTTACAGCTCCAAAGGATATCATGTAGGGAAGCCAGAGACGTTGTTGAGTCAAAGATGAATGCCGCTTCTTTCTTACATTTCACCGCCCTGAGTCCCGTAAGGGAGATAGGGCGGTATATAAATTTAAATAATAAATAAATAAAATAAATAAATTGTCTTTTGAGTCTACAAATGGGAGATGGAAATTACTTCAAAGAGGGCCTTTCGTCGCTGGGTGATGCTGTGCATTGTAGAAGACTTCTGTGACCAGGAGAGGGCAGTGTTCCTGCTGTGTCGCTCTGCAGAGTTTAGGCTTTAAAAAACACACACACACAGGTACAGACCCAAAAGAAGCTGACTTTTAGCCATGCAAGCAATAAACAAACTGGCACAGAAAGGGCCTGGTGCCCTGCTAGATGCCAATTGCCCAAGCAACATCCACTGAAAAGTAAGCAAGGCGAGTTATGTTGCACCCTCCACCTTACCTCCAAGGTTCTAGCTCTGTATAATTTTGATGCTCTGGATCTATTTTGTTTTTCCTCTGCACTGACTCAGGCGTGCAAGCACTGTGCATAAAATGATGGTTTTGGGTAGGGCTACGCAGCACTTTTAAATAGTGGTAGTCTGTGCATTCATCTACAAACAATCCTGGTATGTTCTATGTATGTATTTGCAGAGCGATAGTAGCATCTGAAAGCCAGTTTGATGTAGTCATTAAGGCATCAGGATAGAAACTGGGAGAATGTGAGTTCTAGTTCCGCTTTGGGCACGGAGCTTGCTGGGTAACCTTGGGCCAGTCACTTTCTCTCAGCCTAGAAAGGACGCAATGGTGAAGCACGTCTGAAAATCCTGGGCAAGAAAACTTCAGGGACTGGCACGGGCACCCCTGAGAACTGGGCACGATGGAATGGAAGGGGAAAAAAGGCACCAACTGTTCAATGCCCCTCAGACTGGGGAGCCCCCCCCCCCTGTGAGAAGAGGGTTCTTCCCAAAGACCTCAAGGCTGCCCTGAGCTGCCCCACAGCTGCCAGGGCAGGAGAAGTTCAGAAGCACCCCCTGGCCTCTGTCCTGGGACGTGGGGTGGGAGGGGAGATGGGGAGCCCCGGAGTAGGACAACCATTGCCTCAGCAGTTGCCAGGAAGGAGGCTGGCTTGTTTGTAGGGTAAATGTGTATATGTGTTGTGTGAACTAAGGAATAGAGACGTTGCCAAGGAAGCTGCCAGTAAGGAGGGTTGTAGTCCTTGATGTAAACTGTGGCTCAGGATACTAAACTCTTAGGGGCAAAAAGCCCAGATTTTGCACTATGAACATAGTTCCCTAATGTGGTATGCTTGTAATTAATAATCCTAACTTAGATGATATTGGCCTGAATATTTTCCAGTTATGTGATTTCTTAAAGAAATCTATGTTAAGGATGGGTCAAGATACAATGGAATTGCCTCCTGTGGGAAATAAAGCTTATATTTTGGTGTGTGCTAGAGCAAAACCTTTGGTTTTGTTTAATTACAGCATTAATGAAGTGGATGTTGTGACAGATTTTTTCAGAGAATATAGTATCCAGTTTGCTGCTGCCTTCTTTAAATAGAGAGTTTTAGTATTCTGGGGAAATATTTCCTTCTGCCATCTGATTTTTAACATGTTACTATTTTAAATAATAAAAATGATTTGTTTATAATGTAAGGTGATCTTAAAATAAATACAATATATTCAGCATTGTTTCCAAGCCAAGACAATGAATTGAAATTGTAGTTCATGCTTAAAATGAAGAGGATTTGATACTGTGGTCGGTACCAGAGGAAACTCAGTGGATTTTGGTTGTCCTTTTATTTCATATTGTGCTCATGAAAAAAGTTTAGACTTATTCACTGTGGAGAAGGAATGGGAAGGTGTGGAAAAATTCAGTTATGGGCTGCATTTAAAGTTCAAAATATGTCAGTGAAATTAGAATTTATTCTGATTAGAAATTAAGAAATAAATCGAGAACGCAATCCTTCTCCCTTCGGACAAAGGTAGGTTTGGTGGAGGTCAGAGGCAGGTACAGGACGAAGAACTGCTGGACAAGTCCAGACAGGCGGTGGACGGGTTCCACAGCCCAGGCAGCGTGGCTCTGCAGAGGAAGGAAGCGCCAACTTTCTGGTTCTCTGTTGTTAGCCAAAGACTTGCTGGGAAATTCAGCCAGCAGGCTGGAATCTTGTTGGATACTTTTTGGTGCAAATCAATCGCTGTTCCTTGTTTTAGAAAAAAGAATGGTGTCTTTTAGGGCAGCGGTCCCCACCTTTTGGGCACCAGGGACCTGTTCCGTGGAGAGAGGTTTTTCCACGGACCGGAGAGGGCGTGGCTTTGTGTACTGCCTACGTCCCGCGGATGGGGCTTCGTTTTTTGGGCAGCCCAGTTTCTGGCATGCCATGGACCCATTTTAGGGGTACTTAGAGAGGTGCATCAATACCAATTTCCAAATCTGCTGAGCAATTGATTTTTAGCACCACCACCCCATTTAATGCTACTGAAGTTGTTTTCCTGAGGAGACGTGCCCTATGCAGCTACCTCTAATTGTTTTTTAACTGAAATTAAATTGTAGGTGAAGAATTCATCTTCCTTTCAGTTCCACCAGGACCAAGGCCAGCAGATGGTCTGTCAGATCCTTGCAATCTGCATTTGTGTAATGCTGGTATTCAGCACGGATCCCAGCAGCCTTGGCTGTGGCATTGATCACTATTTGTTCATTTTCCTTGCAGAACATCTCCAAACACCTTTATTTAATTATATTTAAAATATTTGTATTTTAAAATGACATATTTAAAAAACTGAAAATTAATTAGCCTCATTATCGGGCAGCTGCATCATCCATATAGGGCAACAGGAGGAAGGCATCAGGTTCTCATATAAGGACCTTCTCATGTCTTCCATTTCCTTCACAGAAGCCGCAACATTTCCCGAGGGGTAGCGTTTGCCTTTGGGCTAATATGGCACTAGTACGAAAGGCTTGCTTACAATCAGACAGATGCTTTACTTACTTATTGTTGAAGATAGTTAAAAACAAGAAACTAAAATGTTGGGCGTGCCCACTCTCCACCATTTTTAAATCTTGATTTTGTTGTCCCACTGGATGTTATTACAATAATAAGAGAATATCTATTTCCTTCATTCCACACAGAATTGTCAATATATTTCTGTGGTGTCCCCCTTACTTACGCGAACTCAAGTGGGACGTAGAACCACCATC